GGAACGTGGCTCGGCGTGCGGCTCAGCACGCGGCGCGCGTGTGTGGCGCGGAGGGCGCGTGCGTGGACAGCGCCGTTGATGCGAACGTGATGGCGCGTGGAGGCGCGTCGGAAGCGCGTGGAGGCGCGTGGCAGCAGCTCACAGCGTCAGGTGGCGCGTGCGTACCATGCGCCGCCTTCCAGAGTGTTTTTTGGTCCAATTTTTGTACTGCCAGACTCCATTTTTCAAAATAAAATCAATTATGGTATTAAAAAAGACATTAATGAACATAAAAAAAATGAGGTGTACTACACTCTCAATCTAATGGGAGTTGAAATTTTCCTCCTTTATAAGCATTCATGTATATAATGTGTACATATATATATAAAAAATATACACATGATTAGAGAAAATACGAAAATACCCATTCATGCTCTGATGCCAATGTAAATCAAAGGTAAAACGCAGTGGATGAAAAATTATGGTCATACCTTTATCTACAGAGTCTGAATTGAAAGGATCTCGTGGGTAAATCACGTGTTTCCTGAATTTGATCAATCAACCCAGCAGTGGAGTGATATTACAGAATGAATATCACCTATACAAGTCACAGTGCAAAATGGCTCTTGATCGTTGTATTTGGGAGATAGTCAGAATATGGAAAAAACATACGACATACGTTATTTTTCTCTTAATCATCCATATCCCATATTATATCAGATATGTTGGATAATAATAAATCTATCCATATCAGTTATATCAGATATATAAGATATCCATATCATTTATCCATATCAGTTGATATGATAGATATGGATATCCTAAGTGGTTATCCAAGTAAGTTTTGAATTCAAATTTACACTTACATAGATAAGGTTCAAAAGGTTGAAAGGGTCATGCCACATGGGCGCCCAATTTCTAACACAAACAATAGCCAAAGAGCTTGGACTAACTTATTGGGTTCTAAACAACTCAGACAATTATTCTTGGTCTGGCATTGGATGTAACTCTAGCAATTCCATGGTCAAAAAGCTCAATCTTTCGCGCCGAGGGCTAAAAGGTAATGCCACTATCATTTATGAGCTCAAAGCATTGAAATGGTTTGACCTATGGATCAATCGCACTTGCTTTTGGGAATTTGTTTGAGCTTAAGTTTCTTGATTTGAATTCAAATAAATTTGGTAATTCAATGAATTTTTCAACTAAGAGGATGGCCAGATGGACATCTAGCTGGACGTCTGGCTAGTTGTCTGGTGGGTCCATAACTCAACGACTATGCATAGTAAAATGCTGAAAGGTGCCAGACATCCTCAGTTTGGTGAAACATTTGTTATATTCTCAATTTGATATATGTTTGATGAAACTATTGGAGTAAAAAAAAAAAAATATATATATATATATATTTTTCACCAAATTTAAATTTGGTGATGGATTTGGTACAGTGTTGGAGATGACCTTAGTATTGAACATAAGCTTATCAAGGGTATTTGTGATAATCTAACTAAATAAATATATTTTTTTGATTTTTTGTGAAAAGATGTACATAAAAATAGATAAATAATATATATAATCCAAATAAGTGTACTTATATAGGTTATGCCAAACAACTCATTATATCATGACAGATGTGATTTTTAATTATTTATATCTTTAATTTCTTACAAAAATTATAACTTCAAAAAATATGATTTATACAAAAAAAAATTTGGATTTGTTTTGTACACTTATGTATTAATATGTATGCCTAAATTATTAATTTTTTAATACATGTAATAGGTGTGAAAAGAAATTAAATGTGTATTATTATAATCACCCTCTATATTAGCCTCACTCATTGATTCTAGGAGGATTATGATCAAATTTCATTTTTTATTCTATTAATTTTATAAATTTTGAAAATTAAACTTTTTTATTTTATTTTATATTTTCACAGAATTGGTAGGTGTTTTTTTTTGTAAGGAAAATGTTTTAGAACTCTAAAAGAGCTCAATCCACTAGACATATAATGTTTGTTAGTTAAAATGTCTAGTATGGCTAACTTTTTTAAATTCCAATGCACTAGGCATATGATTATGCATTTAAGTTCAACTCACATTTACTAACTGCATATAGCTAGTCTTAACTACATGTAACTAGCCTTTAAGGTTAAACAAAATGTATTTAATCATTATGATAATTTTTCTCAATCTTTATTGCTGATATAGCATTCCATAAAGTTAATAGTATTTGGATGAATAATTAAAATAAAGAGTATGGTTGGAGTATAAATATGAAATAGTTAATTGACAAAATAAAATGTATATTTTATAATAATATTTAGATAGGTAAAATGCATATTACATTGGAGATGCTCTAATTTATCTTTTTTCCTACTATGATTTGTTTTTTTTTTTTTTTTTCTTACATTACCAAATGTATAGATCTCCATTTAGGATTTTATACTGAGGAGGGTTCATTTGGGAAGTTAGTTGACTTTTTAGTTTTTTGGTTATTTTAGTTTGGGATTAAAAAGTCTCGTTTGTAAATTTTTTTTAATTTTTTTTTTGACTTTTTGTGAGAGAAAAAATGTAATGATTATGGGTTAGATGTGATATTTTATTTTATTAAATTAAAAAACTTATTTTATTTTTTTATGACTAAAATAATCTCAAACTCAACTCAACTCATCTTCTGAAACGAAGCCTCTATTAAGGGATCTTTTGGGAACATATCAAAAAAGCCAGTTTTTTGATTTTTTTTTTTTGGCCAAAAAACTCAGTTTTTTTCCACAAAATAACTCAATTTTTTTTGTTAAAAAAGTCACAAAAAGGTTAAAAAGTCAATTTTTTACCAACTTCTTAAAACACCACTAAGGTCGTTTTTGTAATTTGTTAAAAAAATTATGTAGTTATGTTGACTTATTTACCCCCGGAAAGCCTATCTGTCTTCTTAATTTCTTAGCAAGAGGGAGGAATCGGGGCTTTTCCCAAAATAAGTCAAAATACCAAGTTATTTTCTAAACTTGGCCTAGTTTTGATGAATTTCCCAAAATAAGCTAAAACGTGGTTACAAACCACGCTTTCACCGTTTTTGTGGCCCTCCCACGAAAAATTTGTAAAATCGTAAAAGCGTGGTTACAAACCACGCTTTTAAGTAATTTTTTTTTTCTTCAGAAAACGTGGTTGCGAACCACACTTTCACTATTGAAATGTAAAAACGTGTTTTCAATACATACCAACCCACACTCTGACACACACACCCACAACACTCACACACATCAACTATATAGTTGAAGGAAAATGTCTCGTAGCTCAAATTTTGTGGCTCAAAAGTATGATTATGCATTTAAGTTCAACTCACATTTACTAACTGCATATAGCTAGTCTTAACTACATGTAACTAGCCTTTAAGGTTAAGCAAAATGTATTTAATCATTATGATAATTTTTCTCAATCTTTATTGCTGATATAGCATTCCATAAAGTTAATAGTATTTGGATGAATAATTAAAATAAAGAGTATGGTTGGAGTATAAATATGAAATAGTTAATTGACAAAATAAAATGTATATTTTATAATAATATTTAGATAGGTAAAATGCATATTACATTGGAGATGCTCTAATTTATCTTTTTTCCTACTATGATTTGTTCTTTTTTTTTTTTTTCCTTACACTACCAAATGTATAGATCTCCATTTAGGATTTTATAATGAGGAGGGTTCATTTGAGAAGTTAGTTGACTTTTTAGTTTTTTGGTTATTTTAGTCTGGGATTAAAAAGTCTCGTTTGGAATTTTTTTTTAATTTTTTTGACTTTTTGTAAGAGAAAAAATGTAATGATTATGGGTTATATGTGATATTTTATTTTATTAAATTAAAAAACTTATTTTATTTTTTTATGACTAAAATAATCTCAAACCCAACCCAACTCAACTCAACTCAACTCATCTTCTGAAACGAAGCCTCTATTAAGGGGTCTTTTGGGAACATATCAAAAAAGCCAATTTTTTGATTTTTTAGTTTTTTTGGCAAAAAAAAGTCAGTTTTTTTTTTCCCAAACTAACTCAATTTTTTTGTTAAAAAAGTCACAAAAAGGTTAAAAAGTCAATTTTTTACCAACTTCTTAAAACACCACTAAGGTCATTTTTGTAATTTGTTAAAAAAATTATGTAGTTATGTTGACTTATTTACCCCCGGAAAGCCTATCTGTCTTCTTAATTTCTTAGCAAGAGGGAGAAATTGGGGCTTTTCCCAAAATAAGCCAAAATACCAAGTTATTTTCCAAACTAGGTATAGTTTTGACGGATTTCCCAAAATAAGCTAAAACGTGGTTACAAACCACGCTTTCACTGTTTTTGTGGCCCTCCAGCGAAAAATTTGTAAAATCGTAAAAGTGTGGTTTTAAGTAAATTTTTTTTTTCTTCAGAAAACATGGTTGCGAATCACACTTTCACTATTAAAATGTAAAAACGTGTTTTCAAAATACGTTTTCAATACAAACTAACCCACACTCTGACACACACCCACACACACCTACAACACTTATACACATCAACTATATAATTAAAACAATATAATTTTTATATATAATAATAATTAAATATATATAATAATAATTTATAATAGCAAATAATAATCAACTATATAATTTTTATAATTTTTGTCAATATAAATCATTTTTATATAATTTTTATCTTTCGTGTGGTTAGAAATAATTTTTTACAAATTAAATTGAAACAACCATACATATGTATATAACTTGTCCAAAAGTTAAAATGATAATTATTTTTTATTTTTTGTTTCTTAACGAAATTAATTTTTAATTTTTTAAAAAAAAATTCTAAAAATCAAACCATAAATAACTTAAATTTTTTTTGATAAATGACTTACATACGTATGGTTTAAGGGTAAAAACGGTGAAAGCATGATTTGTAATCACATTTTAGCTTATTTTAGAAAATTCATCAAAATTAGGCTTAATTTGAAAAATAACTTATTTTGGTTTATTTTGGGAAAAGCCCGAAGAAATCGGATTATTTTTTTCATAAAAAAAAAAAGGCAAGAGAGAGAGAAAGAGGGGCGACCCGCCCAATCAAATGCACCCTGAAAACCCTAGCAACATCGAACCCTAGACTCAACCATCACTGAACAACACGACCTTCGTCGATTCAATAACCCTAATATATATCTAATAACGAAATTCTGATACTGCAATCTTTGATTTGAAACAAAACAAAACATGCCTCCGAAGCAACAATCCAAAGCCGACATGGCGAAGAAGCAGAAAGTTGTAGAGGACAAGACCTTCGGTCTCAAGAACAAGAACAAGAGCAAAAATGTCCAGAAATATGTGCAGAATCTTCAATCATCCGTACAAAACAAGACCGACGCATCCAAAATCGCCGCCAAGGTAATTTTTTTTGATTCCTCACCACTGAATGTTTGCTGGTTTGATGATTTTTGCAATTTGATTCACTTGTGAAAATATGGTTGTGTGAACAGAAGAAGAAGGAAGAAGAGAAGGCTAGAGAGAAGGAATTGAATGACTTGTTCAAGATTGCTGTTGTTCAGCCCAAAGTACCACCAGGTATGTGTTCATATTTTAAGCTCATTTGAAATTTCTATTTTCTCCAAGTAGTCAATCTGTTATTTAGAATATATATGTATATATATTTATGGTTTTTAATTCTGAATATAGTGAAAAACAAGACTCAAGGTATGTGTTTGAACAATAATGTACACACTAGAAGACTGAGCACACTAATTGTGCAATTGAAACTGTCAATATGGATCATGTGTGGGTGAGCGTGAAGAGAGAGAGTGAGAGTTTGTATTGGGTGGGGGACAACAGTTAGATATTAGTCCTTACAGTAACTGTTAAAAAAAAGTAAAAATTTGAAAAAAATTATAATGTTGTGGTTTGTGGGAATCAACAAAGTTCATACCAAATGAGTTGTGTGTTTTATATAATAGAATAGAAGAATAGATAGAATAGATGAGCACACACGTATATATATAAGTACCAGCAAAACTAGGTCCAAATACCATATTTTATTTTGTAAAATATATATATATATATAAATGTAAATATCATCACCATAAATGAAAATGTTAGGGAAGAGGAAGACCTAAATTAATATGAGATGTGATTGTAAAAATGATATTAATTTATTTAATTCAATTGAGTGTAAAAATTTGATATGAATTTATTTAAATTAATTGAGCAAAAATGATTCATGTAGCTAATGCAGCTAACTCCACCTGATTAGGATACAAGGCTTAGTTTGGTTATATGTGTAGTTTGGAGGCCATTGGATTGAAAACGAAGGCTTTCATCAGCTATGGTTTCCTAATTTAAGTTTTTTTTTTTCCTTTTGTTTTAACATTGGTTATATGTGCTACAAATTTTGTTGTTTTCATGCCAGTACAAAGCATGTGCTCTCGAGTTTTGATTAATGTCTTTCATCATAGTTGGTGTAGCTTTTTTCCTATACATTGGTTGGTTTTGGTATAATATAAATTGGGATTTTGGTTAGGTGTTGATCCCAAGTCTATTCTATGCGAATTTTTCAAGGCGGGGCAGTGTGCAAAGGGTTTTAAATGCAAGTTCTCGCATGATTTGAATGTGCAGAGGAAGGGTGAGAAGATTGACATTTATAGTGACAAGCGTGATGAAGGTAACTTAGTGATGTGTTGATTGGTGTTTTTTGTTTAAAAAAAAAAAAATCATTTTCTCATTTTACTTTGGTGTCTTGTTTTTTGTCATCCCCTAAGAAACAATGGAGGATTGGGATCAAGAGACATTGGAAAAGGTTGTGGAGTCAAAGAAGAATGAGTATAACCAGAATAGACCAACCGAGATAGTATGCCTTTTTATCCTTCTGTCTCTTTATGTTGTGCTTTGTTAAGTTTTTAAATTTGTGTCATGACCAATCTGGTGCACAGAGCATAGCTGTCAAATTGGGATGCAAATCATGTACCACTTCTTTTTACAAATTTTGTATTGCATTTGTATCGTGTATTGTAAGATTTTAACATCTATAAAAGTAGGTTAAACAGTAAGTATATATATGGAAAACACATATATCTTGTAAGAATAAATGTTAGACAATTTATAATTAATAAAATCACATAAAGTAATTGATGCAGAATGAGACCAATATAGGCTGCCCTACATTCAAATATCGCTAGGGCTTCAAATTATAAGCTAATGGTTGGAAAGTTAAAAAAAGAGTTCAGGGATGGAATATAAGTTCCAATGACAAACGTTTGCTATTGAAGTTTGAAATTAAAAAGAATGCTTGTCGGATTTTCTGGGCAGTTGAGAAAAAATTGAGGGTTATATCCTATAGGGCTAAAATGCCACGTTAAACTGTGTTAGGGCTTTGGATAAAAGGTTTGTGGTTTAGGATCTCAAATAAGGTGAAACAAGGTTGCTTTGTGGGTGTGAGTTTTGCACAGTAGTGCTGGAAATCAAACAATAAATCAGGTAGGATTTGTAGTCTCTTCGAGGTCTTCTACTAGTCTCACCTAGAAAAACTGGAGTCTCACCATCGAAAATCGGAACTATAATAAAATTTTGCAGAGAAATATCATTAATGAACTTGTTTACTCATCTTACCATGGACTTGTATAGAAGCATAATAGTTTGTCCATAAGAATTGATTGTCAATAGCTCTAATAGTTTTACTAAAAAATTGTCGTAAACCTTCTCCTTGCAGCTCACCGATTTTTATCATCCCTGGGAATATGACTGCTTGACCTAAATATTTTCTCTAGCTAGTCTTCCATTCCATAATGCTAGTTTTGATCTAAAAGAAACTTGCATTACTTTAGAAATCTACCAGATTCTCAGGCCCTCTTAGTTCTTGAAGGATTGTCTTGAATTGTTTATTTAAAGAAAAGAGTCGTTCAATGCTAGAAAGAATAATGTGCTGTTGTTCAAGTGCTATTCATTGCAGCGATGGGCAGTAAACTGAGAAGCCTTGCTCAGGATTGCAAGTCAACATAATCACTGTGCATTTAGCAGTATTCAAGGTCATGTCTTGCAAGGAAAGGATGGAGAGGTACCAGCCGTAGATAGGATCATAGGATGAAGAGTGACACAAACTGTAACTGCTTGCACAAGTTATAGCCTGCAGGATGTTTTGAGAGTACCACAAACACTTTCTCTAGATCTTCTACTTGCAGCTCCATTACACTATCATGTAGAAAGACATTTGGAAAATGCACTCAATATTTGTTGAACAAATGCACATCCAGAACTTGGAAATCAGGTTGTTAACCTCTTGCATCAGCCAGAAGAAAGGCTTTTATATTTCCTAAATCAACACTATTATCAGAGAAACACTTCTCAGGTTATCAAATTCAACAATTGTGGTAGAATGAAACATCAACAGAAAAACTTCTGTATCCAGCATTAGTATTTTATTCTTGGTTCTTGCTGGATCCTTCAAATTTGGAAGTGGAATCCAGAAGATAGCTATTCCAATTTGGTGGCTGGATGAAGCCTTTGATTAATAACTTAATGAGTGGGCTAGTAAATTAGGCAGGACCAAAATCTGAAACCAGATCATTAGCATGGTCTGTATCATAAGATGAAGGAAGATCTTTGGGAAAATATTTGGGATTTAAGTATGAAAATTCAGCGAAGACATTTTTGCTTTCACTAGCTGTCCTTTGTTACTTTCCTTAAGCTCCATCTTGTTAACTGGATTCAAATTACCTTTGTTATTTTCTTCTTTCTTAGCACTATCAATGGTATTGGCACCTCAACACTTGTTGGGTAAATAAGCACCTCAACACTACTATCATTATATTCAGATTTTTATACTGCAGTTCTTTATTGTGCTCATTTTCAAACTTTGGATCATCATTCTGATGAGTGGAAAATGTAGGGAAGAGTTTTGAGAGTCCAGTGAAATAGGCGTGGGGCTGAACATTTTAAATACATGATTAAGTCCGTTGGCCTAAATCTGACTGTAAATTTCTAAATTTGGATGGGTTTATCTTTGGAACAATAAACTAAGTTAAATCCCTAAAATGGCATATTTTAAGTGTCATTTTTAGATTTGGTGTCTGTATGAGAACTAAGGACACTTTTTTATTGCAGCCATCCTATAATGTAGTTTACCGCTAACTTCAGTGCCCCAAAATTCATTTTTTTAGAAATTAATTTAAAATTCCTGTCTAATTAAGTATTTTTAGGGATGATACACACATATTTATGTATGTATTGTATTTAGTTTACACGAGGTTTTGGATACATTAGTGTCATGTAAGTCCTTAATTTAATGTATTTTTTTTGTAGAACATGTTATTTGTATCAATTGACTCTTTATGGACCAATGAGCAGGTTTGCAAGCACTTTCTTGATGCAGTGGAGAAGAAACAATATGGTTGGTTTTGGGTTTGCCCAAATGGTGGCAAAGAGTGTCACTACAGACATGCTCTTCCTCCAGGATATGTGTTGAAATCTCAGATGAAGGCACTTTTGGAGGAAGAGGCTAACAAGATGCCTATTGAAGAAGAGATTGAAAGTCAGGTGATGAACATGTTTACTCTTTCATTGATTCTTAACCATTCTTCAGTAGTGCAATTGGAAATTCATCCCATTCTTTCCATATATATTTTTTGTTTTCCCTTCATTATTTTCAGTTCTCATAATGGTCAAGCCCAAACATTTAGGGCCCATTTGCTTCGTGTTTTGTTTCAGATTTTTGTGTTTTTTGTTTTCAAGAATTTTGAACACAAAACAAAACAGGTTTGGTTCAGGTTTATTTTGTCATACTCTGAATAGTGCTTGTAATTTGCGTGTCTTAATTATTTCAGCGTGCAAAAGTAGCAACTTCAACTCCAATGACTCCAGAGTTGTTCCTACAATGGAAGAAGAAACATATGGATGAAAGAGAAGCTGGCTTGGCTGCCCAGCGAGCAGAGAGGGCTAAGAATGACCGCATGAGGTATTCTGGTCCTCTGTCTAATTAAATTTGATATGTTTTATTGGGCTGTCATTGACACAATTTCTATTTTCTTCAGTGGTCGTGAGTTGTTTCTTTCAGATTCTAGCTTGTTTGTGGATGATGCTGAGGCTTATGAAAAATACCAAAGAGAAGAGACTGATGTTAGTGAACATAAGGTAGTCATTCTTTTTTTTTTTTGGTTGCACATATATTTTTGTATCTCTGAAAATTGCAGGGAGTTAATGATCATCCCTCAATCTACTGGACTGCTAGTTTGGAATGTTTTCACAATATTATTACAACTCCCTTTATTATTATTGTGAAAAAAAGAAATTTACTGCTGATGTGTGTGAATTATATTTCCAGGAGAAAATTTCGCTTGCTTTAGAAATAATAAGTTTATGCAAATGAAGCATCAACACCTCATATGAGGAAAATTACCATCACCTACCACACACTCACCTACTACACTCACCTACACTCACCTACTCCTCACCTACCACCGCCTACTCCACTACACCTACATCTATATAAGGAACCATTTGTAATAGACAGATACAACAACACAACAATCAATAATACATAAATTCTTACAAATTTACTGCTGATGTGTGTGAATTATATTTCCAGGAGAAAATTTCGCTTGCTTTAGAAATAATAAGTTTATGCAAATGAAGCATCAACGAGAAAATTTCGCTTGCTTTAGAAATAATAAGTTTATGCAAATGAAGCATCAACACCTCATATGAGGAAAACTAGACATCATATTGTCTTTAGTGTTGTTGGGGATACTTATTCTATAAGATTAGGACAGAGCTCTGGAAGTTTGATTCAATTACATAATAGATGCGTATCTGATGTCTGATTATGAAAACAAGATAAGAAGATTGAATAATTTCTTTTCTGGGTAATGTACATGCTATGCCTTATATACTTATGTCATATGTGTCTATAGATATCATTACAAATTCAGAATACTAAATCTGCCATTCGTTAGTAAAAAATGTTGGGTTGTGAAATCCAAAGTTGGCCATATAATGATTGCAGTTGATATAAACTTGATAAGATAATGGAGGCACTTTTTAAGGCAAGATCGGAGATTGTCCACTGATATGGGCTGTATGTATATGTTGTATTAATGGTCATGAGAAAAGTGGAAGGCTGAAGGTACTGTGGGTCCAGGTTGTCTGGAAAGACATATTCTTCTTTTTGACAAACAGTAGATATTTAACAGAAAACTTAACATAGGGCTGAAGATTGCTTCCATTTGTCCTCGAAGGCTGTTTCCAGATGATTGAATAAAATAAAAAAAGATTTAGGAAACCCCAGAATGCTGTTATGTGTTTTCTGTTTATTGTTTTCCAGGAGGGTTAAATGACCAGAAACACCGGGTATGTTTGGTTTGTGTTTGAGAGATGTGTTTTAGAGATAAAAAGTACGAAAACATGTTTGGTTTGGTTTTTTTTAAAAGATGTTTTGGAAAATTATTTTGAGATAGAGTTTTGGAAAAAGTGATTGATTTGATGTGTGTGAGAGAGAGATTTGTTTGGAAAACTTGTTTGGTTTACAAGTTTTGGGAAATTTTTTTGGGAAAATTTGTTTGGTTTGGTTATTTTTGAAAACTTATTTGTAGAGAAAATTTCCCAAATTTTTTTCAGAAAATCAAACCAAACGAGCCCACCGTTTTCTTAAAGTTACATTTTTCTGAAAACAAGTTTCAGATGGGGCTGTGGTCTTTAGGTTATCAGGGAAGCAACTTCCTAAATTTTGGAATTATAAAGGCTCAAATAAGAGCAAGGAACTTGGGCTCATCACAAATCAGGGAGTGACTTTTAGATGTTGAAGATATTCATATTCCTTGCGCTCCCATAAATTAGCCTGACGAAGCAATATTCGACAACACCTTGCCTCTCCACATCTCTCTTTTAAAATTGTAGTGGTAGTAAAAAAAAGTAGCATTTTCTTCGGTAATCAGCTAGTTCCAGTCAACATAGGAAGGGAGTGCATGAGGAGACCACGAAGGGAATGAAAGGCAACATGAGAAGAGAGTGTCATAAAGACGAGTAACAAATGCTTGGCCATAAGAAATTTTACTATGTACTATTCTTGCAGGTTGTTATTCGTATAGTCCTCAAGTTTTGGTAGCTTTGGAATGCTGTATAACTGTATAAACTTAGGAGAGAGGGTGTGCAATATCGCTTCTGAAACTTCATAGTAGAAAGAAAACTTCCTTCATTCAGTGCCAATATCGCTTATGAAACTATTCAAGAAAGTTATTTACATAAAACGCCTTTATGGTGTTTTGAAATTTTTTTAAGGTTGGTATTATTGTTGTTGTTGCAGCATTTCAGTTCATATTCGTCATTCATTCTGAAAAAAGATTTATAAAAAATGTTTTGCGTGAATTAACTTGGAATCAAGTAGCTCTCTTTTGTGGCGGTTTCAATTTGATTGTGTTCAATTTCAGGTCCAGGAAAATCTAGCTGCAGGTCCAAGCACTTCAACAAGTGTGGCTGTTGATTCTGAAGAAGCCATGCCCGATGTTGACGATGACGAAGACGATGATGATGAGCTGGATTTGGACGAGTTAAATGAGCTTGAAGCAAGTTTGTCGAGAACATCTATTCAAATCAGCGAGCCAGGTATAAAGGCTTCATCTTGAGAGAGAGAGAGAGAGAGAGAGAGAGGGTATAATTGTCATTATTGGCAACCTCATTGCATACGCTTTTTTGTGTGCGCACACACGAGTGTGCGGGGACCAGCTCGGCGTACAGTTGAAGAGGGGGGTTTAGTAAATGAACCACTGAATGAAGCTCTGTTTGGCCAAAATAATCCATTAATGTTGTGTAGATGTGGTTTATTGCTTTTGTATGAGGCAGAGTCTATATGTTTTTGTTTCAGGTTTTACCTGTTTTGTTAAAGCAAAAATAATTACTACTGAGATTTGCAACTACTTCTCTGTTCCTTAGACTATTAATGGTTCCATCTTTTTTGATCGAGGTTGGCTGGTTTAAATCCTTCCATGTATCTCTCTTGCCTTTGCTTTTGTTGAGTAGTGTTTGGTATGTTACTATTTCTAAGTCGTTGAAGGAAAAAATAAATAAATGATCCAATGCATGAAGCTTCAACTAAAATAGAGTATGAGGAAGGTAAGATGTACGTAGTGTTAGTTTGTATTAGTTGAAAGATTCTTTTTAACCTAATCCTGATGGCAGAGGCTGCTAGGGATTGGGCCTTAACCCTACAAACCAGATGAAAGCGTGATTCGATTTCAATACTTCTGTCAACTTTGTTATTAACCGTCTAAGAATATTTTCGTTGTATTACTTGAAAATGTGTTAATTGTCTATACATGACGAAAGTGAGTTTCGATTTTATTTGTGAAGTGAGTTTCGACTTTAATAAGATGTGTGTTTGGTGAGGGTGGAGCTTTTTTAAGTGTGCTAAATGTATAGCGAAACATGTAAGAGCCCATTTCTCTTTAAAGCATACAAATGGGAAAAAGAGCCCATTTCTCTTTAAAGCATACAAATGGGAAAAAAATTGAAATAGACCATTCATTTTTGGGTTTGAGATGTCTTCTCTTTGGAGTTTACAAGTCGGAAAATATATATATATATATAGACAAAAAAATATATTGGATCTACCATCTTCAAATATTCATCTTTATGATTCTCTCTTTAATGCTTACTTTCAGGTTAATTCACTCGTCAGAGTTAAAAATTGATTTGTTGACTAACTACTTTAACAAACAAATAACACAATTATTTAGAGAAAGAAAAAAAAAAAAAAAAAAAAAGTTAGCAATTAAGCAAGTAATAGAAGCTTAACCCAAGTTGATAGAGGCCTTCTATTGTACATGCTCTGGTAATAAAAAAGTTGGTAGAGGACATTTGTTGGTGGGACCTGAGAAGCTATGACCAGCCATTTTATGCCACGTGGTAAAATAGGAGAGATGACCTTTTTGTATCCTTCACTTTCATGGTTGTATAGTCTTTAAGTTTCCAGAAGGTAAGCTGTGGAATATGAAACAAACATGTTTTTTTTTTTACAATGTCTGGATGCTCCAAACCAAATCTCATTTCAATATTGTGGGCCAGGGATGGCAATTTTTCAATCTTTCTATCTTGTTTTTTTTTTCACGATCCGCTCAAAAAAAAAAAAGAAGTCAATTATCATCCTAAATATAACTTGTTTAATCAAATTAAAATAATCAAAAAAATAAAAATTAACTAAAATAATTAGGTTCTCAAGCCTTTTAGGGCTTCGTTTGGGATGTAAATTGACTTTTTGGCTTAGCCTTATTTGAGATGAACTTTTTGACTTTTGTGAAAAAAAAATAAAATAATTATAATTTGAATGTAACAACTTTTAATTTATCTTATTGAGTTAAAAAGTCTATTTTACTTTTTTATAATTATTTTAACTAAAAAGTCTCCGTTTAACCTATGCCAAACAAGAACTTATTATTGTATCATTAAAAATAGGAAAAGATAGAATTTGTTAGTGGATAGGATTGGACACTTCAAGTCAGTGCATGCATCTGATCCTAACATTTCTCATTTTTTTTAGAAAAATGATGCGGACCATTAATTAGCGGTTGCTTTACATGTATTTTGTGTCTTACTTTTGTTTTATTTTTGTTACTTTCCACATCATTAGTGATGATGCTAATGGTAAGAATTTAGTGGTCTGTAGCACTGTTGTTTTTTTTATCCATTCCTTTTAAGCTGATTTTGTTAACTACGAATTTATGGTATTAAAAATAATTTTTTAATAAATAGTCCATAAAATATGATTCCACCCTCATGATTTCATCATTTTGGAATTATGATTCCACCCTCATATTTCAACTCTTTGTTTGATTATAATTTTCAAAATATGATTCCAAATCACATTTGAAAATATTTTTGGTAATCAAAGAGTTTTTGAATTTTTTGGTCTATCCGGACGTTCGGCCGGTTGTTCGGAATAGTTTTTTTTGGGCAATTGCACCTGTTATTTGAAAAAAAAAATTTATATTTATTTTTGATTTTTTTAAATATAAAAATTATTTTTTTAGATCAAAATGATAAATTATTTGGCCATTTCATTTAAAATTAACAAATAAAATTTTTAAATAATAATTAATTTGTCACAGTAATTTTTTAAAAATAAAAAAACATTTGTAAACAAAATCATTAGAAAAAATTCCAATCAAATATATAATCAAAAGTAATTTTAAAGCACTAGTTGAATATTTTTTTAACAAAAAATAATATATATATTTTAATATTTTAAATAAAAAATATTTTCGGAATTTTTTGAAATTTTTAAATAAAAAAATTATTTTTTTCAATAATTATTTTTTTGAATTGAATTTTAAAAAGAGTTTGATTATGAGTTTTGAATAAAATTTTTAATAGAGTTTTGAGTTGTGTGTTTGGTTGTGAGTTATAAGTTTTTGAATTAAGTTTTGAAAATTCTTTTCAAAACTCATAACCAAACAACTTTTCTTTTTTCAAAAATTTAAAATTCAATTCAATTCAAAACTCTTTTTAAAACTCATAACCAAACAAATTTTCTCTTTTTAAATCACGATTCAACAACTCACAAATTCAAAATACAATTTCATTATCAAATCATGATTTTAAAATTAAACCAAACACTACCTTAATTTTTTGTATATTTTTAGTTATAATTAACGTCAGAGTAAATTCTCGCATAATACAATTTTTAATGTGTCAATAAATATATATAAAATGAGATTCATTAAGCCTCCGTTTGGGAAGTGGGTTGACTTTTTGGTTATTTTAGCCTAGGCTAAAAAGTTTGATTTGGGAAGGGCTTTTTGGCTTTTTTGACTTTTTTTGTGAGAGAAGAATGTAATGATTATGGGTTGGATGCGATATTTTGTTTTTTGTGGCTAAAATAACCTATTTTGTCTTTTGTGACTAAAATAGCCAAAAAAGTCCCGTTTAACTCTTGCCAAACGGAGCCTAAATAATCTAATAATGCCATGTAAAATGTTACATTAAATAATAATAAAATATGCTTAATTGGATCAATCTAAAACTTCTCATTTTATGTCAAATAGATCAACCTAACATATGTCTTTCAAAGATTAATCAAGTTACAATACGGCTCTTTTAACAAACGTGTTAAGAATGGGATATCAATATTGGGAATAAAATTAGCATATTTTGAAAAACACATATATATCTCCATGATTTCATGTCATATGTCACACATGATCTATAAATTAAAATTTGTGTCATGTAAAATATTGGACCTTGCATTTATATTTCTGCTCAAGATTTTCTATTCTATTTAGGATTGTACAACAAACCAAGATATTCAAACTTAACTCGTGTATAATTTATTAAATTTTTTTTATAAAAATAAGTCAAATTTAAACACATTTTAAAATTTGATAAATTTTTAAGTAAAATTGAACAACTTACTAATTAGTTCAACTAGATTATATGCATTATAAAATAAAAAAATAAAAAAATAAAGTTATACGATTGTGTGTAATGTAGATGCACTTGTCATGTATGACATACCCATGAGATAAGGGTTATTCATGATGTAAGAAATTGAGTCAAAGATAAGATTTTGTGATATGGGTCCTATATAGCCAGTGTACATCTTGTCTCCTATGGTTTTGTTTTCTCTTCTAGGGCTGGTGAAGACCAAAATCAAATAGGGAATCAGCTTCCAAATTATAATAGGGAAAATTCCATATCATTGTATATTTAAAAAAAAAATATATTTACAAATTAATAATAAACTTTATAAGTATTAAAGTGTTAAGTGATAAACTTTTTCATATAGTAATTAATTTTTTAAAAAACTGCTGAACAGTAGTTTCTTTATATTGGATAAAAGAACAATTTTATTTCATCACAAAAAGTAGTTTTTATTAGATTATTCAGTTTCACTTAACTTGTCCACTTTCCAGTGTAGCAAAGGAGTTGGTCAAAATCAAATTCTTTTTAGACATGTATTTTTTGTTTTCTTTTTATATGAGTTTTGAATAATCAAAGTTCTTCAATTTTGCCAAACACTACGATTGAATTTTTGGATATTGTCTAGGTTCAAGTGACACAAAATTTTAAAATAATTTAACAATTAAAAATAATTTTTGAAAACTAATTGTCATATCAATTCCTTTTCTCAAGAAGTTGTTTTCTTTTTATTTTATTTTATTTTTATTATTCATAAATTAGCTGAAGTAAAGGTGGGGCTTAGCTCAGCCTATATGGTATTGTTTTATTAATTAAATTTATTTTGTACCACGTGACATGAAAAGAAATGATACAATATGACTAAAAGAGAATAATTGATTAGGAGACGTTTGATATTGGCTAATATAATTAATTTTTTTAATTTGAGATTTTTTTAGTCTTGTTTAGTTTTTTATTTTTGGGATTTTTTTGACTTTTGTGAGAGAAAAAGTGTAATAATTATTAGTAAAAAGTGATATTTTATTTTATTGACTTATGTAACTTATTTTATATTTTTGTGCTTTTTTAGTCTCAAAATCTTAGCCAAATGAGCACTAAAAAGGGTATTTAAAGAAGCATCTAGATCTTATTAGTTCTCAAGAAAATTTTTACTAAACCTACACCTTCATAGGTTAAGGATTCGTTTGGTAATATTACTTTTTAGTTTAAAGTCAAAAAATTATTAAAAAAATTAAAAAATCAATAACTCATATTAAAAAGTCAAAGATTTTATTTTCTCTCTATTTTTTACACATATTTTGGTAAAAAATTAAAAAATTATTCTA